GTGATAAAGCTTGACTCCTCTGCTGTTGTCACATGCCAAAATCCACTTTTACCATCACACACCGTGAACACTTTAGCTTGGGGACTGTCCGGGAGTAGATCCTCTATTGTCGGCTCATGGGAGTGAACTACGCTGAGCGCCTTGTTTAAGGGTTTTGGATCAATGCACATTTAGGTTTCCGTTCTGCTGTTGCACTACCACCATGCTGCTGATCCAATCAGTGCTTACAGTCGATGGTGTGATAATACCTCTACGCTCAAGATCCTGCAGCCTCCTTCTTCCGAGGTTTTCATCCTGCCCTGGAAAACGCGTCTTTTGGAAGTTTGCACTGGTTTCACACTTGTGTCCACATCCTTTTTGTATTCTCCTTTCGAGAAGCTGTCTCTGTGAAACACCTCTTTAATAGTCTTTTTAATCTGTCCCCGCGACTTGCTCATTTGTGTGTCTCTGCAGTCACAATACTGTCAATAGCCCATATGTTTTCATAGTGCTCCTTAAATTTGTTTTTGTAAAGGAAATATGTTTTACATCAGCCAATTATTGCTGAGAGGTTTTCTCATCCTCCCTTCTCTCATGACAACGCGCACGAGTCCTATCACAAAGTAAAAAGAGACGTTTATTGTGCGTCATGAGTAACGCGCAGTAACGGGATGTCGGAAATGATAACGGCGTTATAGTTACAGTCCAAGTAATTAGTTAGATTACTCGTTACTGAAAAAAGTAACGGCGTTAGTAAAATAAATAAATAATTGATTAGCTGTGAATTGGGTGCAGCTCTGACTGCCCCCCAACCCAGAAATGGATTTAGAGGAAGAAAATGGATGGATGGATGGAAGTTCCAACTTCCATCCATCCTAAAATCACTTGTGGGGAGATTAAAGACAAATTCACACTTTATAAAGACATACAAACTTTGATCTTGCTGCCGGGCTAAAAGAACAAGAACAAAGTTAGTTGTGACTACAGCTTCATACTTCATGAACTGAACACACGATCATAGCCACAAACCAAACCACAGCGCTAGGATTGGATGAGAATCAGGTCAAAATAAGCAACGAAAGGGAAAATATATAGAAACATGGACAGACACCCAGTTCCATCTCGCTTCTTTAAAGAGGTCTGGACAACTGTTGGACCTTTTGTCTAAGAGATAATAAATAGGAGTATGTGTTCTGGGGTTGTCCCTTCCTTTTGTAAATCTGAGTATCAGGGGGACCGCCCTGGACTGGTTTGGGTCATACCTGTCAGGGCGGTCCTTTGCTGTCAGGCTGGAGGCCTCCACCTCCACCGCTGCCCCTTTGCACTGTGGAGTTCCCCAGGCCTCAATTCTTGGCTCTTTGCTTTTTGCAAACTTACTTAGTGACATTTTTAAAAAACATGGCATGTCTTATCATTTTTATGCTGATGATTGTCAGATTTACATGCCATTGAAAAAATATGATCACAACCCCCTGACACCCCTACTCAGCTGTCTAAGTGATGTCAAGGATTGGTTGGCCCAGAACTTTCTAAAACTAAATGAAAGTAAGAAGGAGGTTATTTTATTTGGCCCTGGCGCCCCCCTCATTGACTTGGGGCCCTTAAAAGACCATGTGCGCCCCACAGTCACCACCCTTAGCATCATCTTAGACAGTGATTTTAAACTTGATAAGCCGATTAATCAGGTTCTAAAATCAAGCTTTTATCATTTGCAACTTTGATCTAAGGTTAAACCTTTTTATTTTGTAATCTTTTTGAGCAGGTTATGCACGCTTTTATTTCTTCTTTTGCAATGCGGGCATCCCCCAAAACGCACTTTCCCGTCTGCAGTTGGTCCAAAACTCAGCGGCACGACTTCGCAAACACATCACACCAATTCTGGCATCGTTGCACTGGCTTCCTGTTCATTTTAGAATCAATTCTAAGATTTTGTTGTTTGTTTTTAAAGCATTGAATGGACTGGCCCCTCCTTACATCTCGGACCTCATCCAAATTTACCATCCGCCCCGCGCGCTGAGGTCCAAGGGCCAGCTCCAGCTCGTGGTACCGAGGACGAGACTTAAAACCCGGGGGGATAGGACCTTCTCTGCGGCTGGACCAAAGCTGGTGAACCCTCTGCCCCCCCCATATCCAAACTGCTCCTTCTGTGAAGTGTTTTAAGTCTCGTCTTAAGACCCATTTATAAGCTCTGGCTTTTAACACTGCGTGAGTTGTATGGTCCTTTTATTTTCCTTTTACTTTATTTCATTTAATCTTTTTGTTATTTTTATATTTATACATATATGCACACACGGTTTTTTATATTTGATTTTTTATTATTTTACTGTTTTACCATATGGATTTGTTTTATTTAGTATTTTATTGTGCAGCACGTTGGAAACTGTGTTTATGAAATGTGCTATATAAATAAAGTGGATTGGATTGGATTGAAGAGGAACTGTCTATCATAAGAAGAAAAAAGGAATGGCTTGAAATGCGGATAATTGATAGGCTGACTCTCGCCAGACCCATGTAGTTCGCTGCACTTCACACATGAGTCTGGTACTGAGCCATAGTGGTTGGATTTCAGAAGGCAGGGCCTTGAAGCACACGGCTCCCATAGGTTGCCAAATCCCAGCAAGATTTTCCAACCCAAAATCCGCGAGAATACCGACACAAAAAAAAACACTCAAAATTATTTTTTGGCTAAAAACGTAATTTAATCAACTTGGGCTATCACGATTCTGTTTATTGTCTTTCTGTTTATTTAATACCTACAAGTCTCTTGGAAAAAAATATGCGGGAACCACCAAACCTGGCAACCCTGCTGCATAGTGTGTAAACAGGAACACTGAACCAGTGCTTCAACCAAACTTTACAGGAACATTTGACTCTTAAAACACACATATATCAACATAGAACCATCAACATCTCGCCTCAAATTGCATTAAAAGTGACATCAGTGTCTTAATTTGATCGTATTTACTCTTTTAAAAAGATTCGCTGACTTTACATCCGCCATCTTGGATTCCTCTCGCAGCTGCATGAGAGAAGCTTGAGAAGGCAGTGCAAACCCCACGTAACACCAGCAATCCTGATTGGTCGATTAAAAAATAATCTGGGGAAGGCGTTTGCTATGGCGTCGATACCAGACCCATGTGGTTAAGCCAAACGCCTCTGGTGGAGCATGGTGAAACTACAAGGCTAGATAATTGAAGCCAAGACAAAGCAATCTCTATTGAAGTCCACCAGAGGGAGCAACAGAAGTGATTAACACAAAGAAAATGTGAGATCAAGAGTCACTGGGCCTCATGTATGAAAGTTGCGTAGAAAAGGGTGTATATTTTGGGTGTATATTCCATTTACGCAAGATCCGACGTGGCATTTATGAACGTGTGAGATACGCACAGATCTGAGCGTACGCACCTGCGGCTGTTGATAAATGCCGCGCTCAAAACCAGCGTATTTATGAAAGTCACGCCTAGAAATATTCAGAAACTGCCTGTTCCACGCCCTGTTTTTGCGAGAGGTCAGCAGGAAGTCCGCTAAGAAGGCAATTTGGAAGCCTCAAAAAACACACACTTCTGAGATTATTCACGTTTAAAAAAATATATATATACACTCGATTATACAGTATATACGCGTTTTTCCCTAGTGTCTTCTCTAGACCCACTGCAGCACTCATCTCTCCTGAAATTTAGAAGTAAATAAATAAATAATGAATGAATGAATGAATGAACCAGTTCCCACATGCGCGTTGCATCCTATCTCTGCTGCGGAGAACAGGGCAGTGGATGAGCAGTTTTGAGCAAGATCAATTGCGTTTATGGGGCTTTATGCACAAAACTAAGGAAAACCCACATTGCTTTGCCAGAGGTGAATGAGGCAAAACATATGCGTAATTACGTATACGGCGCAGGGTCTGCTTAGTGAGTAAACGACTAAGGAAAAATAACTTCACGGAGCAGGAGATTGAGACCATTATGAACGAAGTGGGAAAAAGAATAAAGTCTTACTATTTGGAATTCTCAAAAGTGGCATCAAGGGGCTCAAAAAACAATATATGGAAAGAAATGACAGGATCTGTAAACAGCGTGGGGCCTGCAACACGCACTCCTGAAGAGGTGAGTTTATTCATGTTCGAAGAAAAATACGCTATATTATATCAAACAGTTGATATATTGGGCCAATAGTAAGAATTCATTAATTTATGCTACAAGTGAAAAAAAAGGGAGCAACCTTAAAACTGTAACAAAAAGGCGTTTAGCGCAGCCTAAAGAAGAAGTGCTCAGCAGCCCAGGGGGAGGACCGCCAGACCAAAGCATCCAAAAGAAAATATAAAGAAAAAAATTATCTTCAAATGATGTATGTGATTATTATTTTAAAATTGTTGAATGAGAGCCTGTCTGAGCTGTACAGGCCAAAGGCGGTGCTGGCCATGGTCTCTCATCCATGGGCTGCTCCACCAGTGGCACACTGTGGTCCTGTGCCTGTTGTGGAGAACCGAGCCAGGACCATGTGGCACACTTGTACCGGGAGGTACCAGAGCGTACCCCCTACATGTCCCAGAGCCTGATCAGACCCGCGCAGCGCTCCACGGTGGCGCGCGTCTTTGCTTGGACCCGCATGAACCAAAGCCATTACGCACTGATTGTAGGTGCATATAACAATCCACACATTTGTGGGAGACTAAGTTTGACATCTTGCACGTTATTTAATAACACAAACTAGCCCTAACATAACATCGTAAAATTGCATATTTGTAATGTGAGAGGTGTGCCTATAATCTTGTCAGAGTGGGAATATGTTTATTTTTGTCCATATCTTGCATTTCCTGCGTGTTTTGGCGTGTTGTAATGAAGGTTGAAATGAGCGTACACATTTACACCACCTCCAGACCTGGTGTATATTCTGTGCGTATCGTACGCTCACGTCCAGATTGATAAATGCGGAAAAGTGTAAATATTTTGCGTACGCATCATTTACTCCCTGATTTGGCCGTACACAAGTTTCATACGAGGCCCAATGTATCTATGATCAACATGTTGTCACCTCAGACTATTCTGGACTTCTCACTGAATGGAGATTCAAGGGCCGGTACAGACAAAAATCTCCATTTCCAAGACTACAACAAACTGACCTCATGCCTACAGGTGAAGAAACGAACTCCAAATTGTCTTCAGAGGAACCCAACAGTGAAGGCACAGGACCAGAAGCTGTCAAAACCCTATTGGTACAGGGTTCAGGAGGCACTCTGAGGACTGAAGGACAGGGTTGGACAGGCCACCCTGATTGCACTCCAGTAGTGGATGTAGATGGAGGACACTCAAAGCTTCTGAGATACAAGGTCCAAAAGGAAGAGGTGGAAAATCTGATGGTTTAATAATCACTTGGACTCGAGCTCTATTTCTGATGGATTTGTCTAAATGCAATGGTGTTAAAAAATATGTATATATAAAAAAGTGTAAAATTTGAAAGGTCAGTAGATTATTGAAACTGTACTGTACATTGTGAATAATATACTGTATTTTTGTATATGGTTTCTTGCTATAATGGTAATTGTTTTGGCCCCTGCTGCAAACAATTAAAGGGCCGGTGTGTAGCCGCCATATACACCCCCTACCACTATGTGGCAGGGTTGTCTAAATTTGCTGAATACCTCCCACTATTTAAGACTGCTGATTAGTGGAAACATGTGTTGCAAAGTGTGGAGGTAAGGTCTTTTGACCGTGTATTTATTGGAATGTTTGGCAAATAAAGAACCTTTTTGTCATTCATAATAGTGGATTGGACTACTTTTATCAGGAACACGCGTCAGGAAAACCATACACACTTTTGTAACCACAGTGGCTCAGGTACAGGACCTTGGGCCACCACACTTGGCCTGCACAGATGTTTTTGGATGAGGGAGCTGATGGTCAGCTCCGATTTGAGATCCTGGGTGATGGTGGTGCCCAGGGACAAAAGTCCATCAGGGAGGGCGGGGGTGGGGGAAATCGTGCTCTTCCCGAAGTCAACAATCATCTCCACTGTCTTCTGGGAGTTCAGCTCCAGGTTGTTACCACGGCACCAAGACACCAGCCAGTCCACCTCCCTCCTCTAGGCGGACTCATCGTTGCCGGAGATGAGACCAAAGAGGGTGGTGTCGTCTGCGAACTTGATCAGCTTTACAGAGTCGTGGCTGGAGGTGCAGTGGTTGGTGTACAGGGAGAAAAGCAAGGAATAAAGAACACAGCCCTGTAGAGTTACAGTGTTTATAATCATTGAGTCCAAGACATTCTTCCCCAAACGCACACGCTGCTTCCTGTCTGTCAGGAAGTCAGTGATCCATCTACAGGTGGAGTCGGGCAGGTTGAGCTGGGAGCGCTTGTCCTGGATTAGGGATGGCAGGACAGTGTTGAAGGCAAAGCTGAAGTCCACGAACAGGACCCTGACCCTCCTACACTCCTGCACCTGAGCTCAACAGCAATCCACCTCAGCTGCTCAGTAACACACCTGTGCTCATCAATTCATGGCTGCAATTAAACAGAGCCTCTCAGCTCTCTGCAGCTCAAGTTGCCGTTCGAGCAGCAATAGCTTCCTATCACTGCCTTTTCAGTGGAGTATTGTGCATGTCTTCAGCTCAGCTTCTTCGCCACCAGGGTCTAGGCCCCGGGGGGTTGCAAGCTCATAATTTCTATTAAACTCCCTTCTGCATACGTCATGCAGTATTCCCGCCAGGGTCTAATTGCCAAAGCTATAAATATAATAAATATAATAGTACTCAATCTAAGTCTGCTGGTGTTTTTTCATGCATCTTGACAATAAACATTCTAGTGCAATCTTTGTTGAGTCTTTCCAGATTGAATTGACCTTATGTGACGTAAGTAGGTACGGTCAAAATCCATCCATTTGTCAAATGTATGTAATTAACCTACAAATAATTCTGAGTCCTGCCAAAGTACAGAGAGTTGTTCACGATCCAAGAAAGAGAAGGGAACAAAACACAAGGCGGTATTGCCCATAGCGCTTCTCCATCCTCTTCTGACCTGTGCAATAAGACGGCACTTCTATTCTGCCAGAGAAACTCTATAGAACACCAAGAGCTCCTGCCAAACCTCAATGTACTCCTGCACCCACTTAATGCACACAGCGACAGTATGTACGAGAAACCTCCAGGGAGCAGTAGCAGCAGACAGAGGGCTAGATGAATGTGGCTTTGTATGCAGCCAAAAGTTTATTTCAAAGTTAGTTTTCAGTTGTAGTTGTGGGTTGTATTTCATTAGATGCAAATTTGCTTAAAAAGTAAGAGAAAAAAGTCCCTTATTGATTTTCCTGAAATGTCTATTATTCCAATGTATTTTCGCATAATCCTAAATGACACTAATCCTCTCAGAAGACTATACAAAGCTATCAATTCTCCAACGACAGATCAGAGAGTCAAACATGTTTTAAAATAAAGTAATACCTCATATGGAGCCATTGGTTCATAGGGAGTCCAGAAATACTGTAGTAATAAATGTTCCGAATCTTCACTGTCCTTAGACCCTCCTGCATCGGCATGGAACAACGACAAAAAACAGTGGGAAAAAAAGTCAAAAATCTAGGAACAAAGAAATAAGGTCAGCATTGAAGGAGGGACTCAGGCCAGTGTCATATTTGTGCAGCAACTTATTTATATCATAAATGTGTCTTCTCTCAGCGTAACCTGCACTTTGTCTGCAGCTGGGCAAAGGGATCTTCATTGTGAGCAGTTTTGTGGCTCAGTAGAGCTCAGGATTGTCGTCACACCCCAACCACCACCCATCACCAGCTTTTTCAAATTACAAGTCAGATGAATAGTAAACCAATTGAGACTCTAACAACTCCTTCATTGGGCTTCACTAAAGTTTTTTGATATTTTTTTGGACTGACCTCCTGCAGGGGCCCAGAGTCTGGAGATGTATTCATTTTATTTTCTTGGAAATGTGAGACAGGCTTCTATTCTGGCAATGTTTACAATTATTATGTTCAAGATAGAGATTTTTTACTTGTTCTTTGATGCTAGAGTTAGAGATTTTGTTTTATTTTAATTTGTATAGCTATTTTTCACTTATCTTGTGCTGTGTGCTCCTCATTCCTAATGTTCTTTAACTTGTGATGCAACACTGAAATTTCCCAACTGTGGGACGAATAAAGGATCTCTTTATCTCTTTATCTTAATGTTCACATCCAGGTTTATTGACCTGATTGCTTTGATTGATGTAACATGGTATAAATATGATTAAAGCCAACTCCCAAATCCAAGTTTCCTACCCTTATCTGTCTATACAACAATCTACAATTTCAAACAAGTGCAGTATTTTCAGAGGGCAGGTCATTTGGGGATACTAGCACACCCATCCATCCATCCATCCATTTTCTACCCTTTAATCCATTTCTGGGTCAGGGGGGTGGCAGTCAGAGATGCCAACCAAGTCTCATAGCACCAGCCCCTCACTGACCCTCTGCAGGTGGTGAGTCCACAGGAGGACGGCTGCTCTCTGACTGTAAGCATAGCCTTGATCTTTCAGTGGGGGCTTTGGGCAAAGTGGGGTTAAGTGTCTTGCCCAAGGACACATCGACAGCAGTCATCAGTGGGAGTCGGTGGAGAAGGTGTAGAGGTGGGAATTGAACCCACGACCTTCTGGCCTTAAGGCCAATGCTCTACCAACTGAGCTACTGTCGCCCCACATACTAGCACACATATACCATTATAGTAGTGTTCGTAAGAACTACTGTGATTTTCAATCAGCGTGATTGAGAGCCATAGTAATGGTGCGTTCAGACCAAACGCGATTTCTGCGGCCAAATCGCGTCTATCGCGCGGCTTGAGCCGCTTGTGACAAATTGTGGCAGCCGCTGTCACAGAGAAACTTGGCCGCGCGGCCAGGACACTAGAGGGCAGCCGCTGTCACAGAGCGTTGAGAGCGTCTAGGGGCGGGGCTTGTCTCTTTTGCCTGTAGCTTCCCAAAATGGATGTCAGCGAAGGAGTTGCTTTATCTGATAAATAAAGCCAGACACGTCGTCAAAGGGCGAATCGACGACGTGTCTGGATTCATCAGATAGTCCGTAGACGGTTGGAGTTTGGTGAGTTTCACCATTTGCTCCGGGAGCTGCGCTCGGATGAGGGTCGCTTTCAGCGGTACTTTCGTCTCTCCCTGGCCCAGTTTGACGACCTACTGACCCGCATTGGCGCTAGGATCTCCTACCAGGACACCAACTACAGGCGCTCTATTCCAGCTGAAGAGCGCCTGTCCATCTGTCTGTGGTTAGTGTTTTTTACCCCATTCGGAATTCCAAAATACTTACAAAGTGTGTCATTTTTCAATCACAATCCACAATGTAATTGCTCAGAAAACAGTATTATGCAACAATATGGTGTCTATGATTACTCTCTATGATGTTTACTGTCTACTAGTTTAACGTATTTTATGCTACACAAGTTTTGTCACGTGATTTTTATGAATGTAATTGTGATAAATATGTTCATATCATTTTGTAATTGCAGGTTTCTTGCCACTGGGGACTCCTACAGGACCATTGCGGGGAGCTTCAGAGCGGGCATATCCACCGTCTCCATGCTCATCCCAGATGTGGTGGCAGCCATCTGGGACTGCCTCGTGGAGGAGTTCATGGCTGTGCCTGGAGCAGAGGAGTGGAGGTCCGATGGAACTTCCCTCTGTGCTGTGGGGCCATTGATGGGAAGCATGTGGCTGTGAAGGCACCCCCCAACTCTGGGTCCATGTTTTTTAATTATAAGGGGCACCATTCCCTTGTGCTCCTGGCTGTAGTGGATGCCCAGTACAGGTTCAGGGTGATTGATGTGGGAGGGTACGGCAGATCCAGCGATGGAGGCATCGTGTCCAACTCTGCCTTTGGTGAGGCTCTGCGCGAGGGCACACTCGACCTGCCTCCTGACCAGTGCATACCTGGAGCTGACCACAGAGGACCCCAGCCCCATGTGTTCGTGGCAGATGAGGCCTTTTCACTGCGCTGCAATTTAATGCGCCCTGCCCATCTCCAGGATGAGGATGAGGATGGCTGGAGATGGGCAGGTTCCTGCACCGAGGGGAGCTGCTGCCGGTGAAGAACCACTTCCAGGCGTGCAGCGGATGGCCGCCTGGAAGCCAGCAGTGGACATAAGGAAAGTGTTCATGGCCCACTTCAGTGAGGAGGGAGCACTGCCGTGGCAGCCCACAGAGTAGTCATGTCCACCACAAGACTGACCCACATCTGGCCATAGTCCAAACCCATATTGATTTGCACTATTCTATTCACCTGTATACCTTCTGTTTCTAGGTAATGACTGCCAGACTCCACTGCGACTCCACTCCAACTTCAGGTTAATCATATGCACATTCAAGCTTTTCCATAATTACAAGGTTGTTAAAACAGTAAAAGGTGAAATGAATAAAAAATACTGTCAACTACTGTATCGCTCTTTAAGTGTTTGTTATTCCATCTTCTATAAAACCCAGTCAGCTCTTATAAAAGTAAATGTACAAATATAGAATAGCATTTTCTGTCAATATTATATGAAAGGTAGTAATGGTTGGCTTGAAGTAGAACACATGAGGTTTGAAAAATATTTTCTTTATAAAAAAAGGAACAAACAATGAAAAATAAATGAAATGTACATATAAACAAATGAAAAGGAGCTTGCTTGGAGGAGGTGCGGTGGAAGAGGAAAGGGACACATGTCTGTTTCCTCCCCTGCAAAAGGTGTCACCTTAGGTAAAAAAAACTGTACTGGCCAATGGTTCCAAATTAAGCAGAATGGTGCTGCTTTCATATAAAAGTTGGTACATTTTGAATTTCACAAATTCTTTTGACTCTGGTGCCACCCTTTGCAGGAGAGGAAAGAGAGAGAGCAGGAACTGATGTTCTTCTGAGTAGTCGGGCGGTCCGGCTGCTTTGGTCCGTAGAGTCTCCAGCAGCTCCCGCTCCCACTCTGAAGGCCCACCAAGGAAGAGGGCTCGGAAGAGGCCCACGTCCGTAGAGCCGCCAACAAAGAACACAGGGCAATCACAGTGTTAAAAAGTGGAACATGTATTTCAAAAAAGCAAAATGAAGAGAGCAAATAATATCTGTATTAAAGCCAGAGTGTGTAGACATAGTTAAACACATGTAAAACACTTTTAAGTTGTGTGTTTGTTACAATTAACTTGAACATTGCAGTTATCAATGAAATTACTCACACATGCACAAATTTCGACAGTTACAAACTAATATCTCTGAAGTGTATTTCGCAATGAAATTTGAAATTGGCTGTAAAAAAGTAATACTCTATTGTCTGCATTAAACAGGATAGCTGCCATCTTGTGGCAACCATTGCATGTATTTGTTCAGTACTTTTATAGCATAAGGTATTTCAGTAGTATGTTTTTATCAAAGAAAGAGGGAAGATGTGTTGTATCAGACCAAAGCTTCTTTCCACCTGTAGTGCCTTGACATCTTGTCGTTTCTCTGTAAATTTGTCGTCTACACTGATGTAACAGCCCTTGGGTAATTTTGGCATATTATGCAGTAACATTTTGTTTATATGAACAGTCCTGTAATAAGAATAAAAATAAAACAATGATTAAAAAAAGCCACACCTGTAGGTGCAGAAGCAGGGGAAGGTCCAGCCCTCACAGAAGAAGAACTGGCTGAGGAAGCAGCAGCAGCAGCAGCAGCAGGCAGCTCAGGCCAAGATGTCTCACCTTGTGTGGTGGTGGCAGTATCTGCGCCAGAAGAAAACAAGAAATACAATTATTTCATATCATGTGTACATTGCGCTTATGACATTTATATGTACATAATAATGTACATTATTATGTACATTTAAATGATTTGTTCATATAAAAGGGAAAAGTGAAATTTAACACAACACATGATCAAGATCTATCCTGGTTTGAAAATAGCCAATGCCTATTTTCACCTGGCCATGATGTTAAGAAAGCATTAAAAGAAATGCATACACAGAAAGCAATATAAATGTAAAAGTCAGCAAAATGTGGGTAATAGAAAGGAAAGAAATGTATTTTTTCCAACTGTTCGAGGTCTCCGTTTGCTGCATGACACCGACCTTCAGCACCTCATATGTGTCCCTCAGATTCTTCCACCGCTTTTTGCAAACTTCCACTGAATAAACACATCAACTCGTAAGCAGGAAAGTAGTAGTTTTTTTCGCGGGGAAATATTTACAACATTAAAAAGTTAAAATAACTTACCCGAGACACCAACCACCTCGCTAACCCTCCTCCAAGCAAGCTCCTTTTTATTTCGGTCCCGGTAGCTGTGGTCCGCAGTGTTATATAGCTCAGAATGAGCACCGACCTGAGCAATTGACGTGTCCTCCATAGCTGTCATCTACCAGTGTTTTTCCGGTAGTGAAATGCGTCACTACGTCACTGGAGGAGAAAGCTCCTGATTGGTCGGCACACGCGAATTCTCCCAAAAAGTTCAACATTGTTCAACTCTAGCGGCGGCCGCGTTGGAGGCACGAATCGCGCGAAACGCGCGTCAAAACGCTTGACATCTCAAAACACGCCGCGCGAATCGCGCCGCGTGATCTCTCGTCGCTCCTTGGCGCGCGTCCCCCATGTTGTGTCAATGTAGACCCGCCGCTTTGGCCGCAGAAATCGCGTTTGGTCTGAACGCACCATAACCGTCTCGTCCTCTTGAACATCAGTATACATTCAATCAAGTCTGTCTTAGTTTACTTTGGCAAGTGTCAACGCTGCTCCAGAGAGAGACCAAAGAGAGAGAGATCAGAGAGAAACAGACCAGAGAGGAGTAGGACTGAGGGCTATGGGAAGACCGCTGTGGTCCTCTAAACTAATCACTGTGTTGCACACAAGCTACAAAGGATTTCTTCTGACTTTAAATAAATATTTGCGGTTTTATGATGTTGTTGGAGCTGCCCAGAAAAAATCTGCAAAACAGCAAAAGCCGAGCCACTTTATAGTGAGGGAAAATATATGGCAAGTGAAATAAATTATCCGAAAGAACCTTCATGAATGTCCCTGGTATCTACAGTATGCACACATTACTCCCCATTCTCAAACCAAATCCTGTATTTATTTCATAGTGCAACAATAACTAACATCTCCCAAACTTTTGACCTAGCTTTTGACACTCTCAAAGCACTCAGAAGCATCTTTCTTGCCCAAACCGTGTGAGGGCTTGTTTTTTTTCTGCTACTGCTACTTTGGATTGGAGGTGTCTATTTATACAACCCCCCTGCGGCGACCCATCCAGCTTACCTTGTGTCTGTCCATCTCTCCTCAGTGAGACGTCAGCCGCTGTTACCTGGGCTCCTTCCCGATAACGTTCCCAATTGATCTCATTATAAAAGACGCAAGCACGGAAATAGCTGTGCCTCCAAAGAGTGAAATGTTACAATCATTTCCATCAAATACCTTTAAAGCAGTCAGCTACGCTTCCCTGGAGTTTCACCACACTCTTCACACTTGTCAGAAATTACACTATCAGATTTGGAAAGAAATATGTGGCGCCTTAGGGGTATTGCGAACAAATATTAGAAATGGGCCATAAGGGATCATCGCAAAAGCCTCTGTCAGGAACAAGCGGAGATAATGTCGTCATGTCCTAAATGTACAATGTGTTGAATGCAAGAAGCAGCAAACATTACTGAATAATCAACAGTGAGAATTTCATTTGTCAATGTTGTGACTGAAGTCTTTCAAAATAATGACACTTTTCATGGTGTGAATTGAAGTGGGAAGCTGTATGCGGTCGAATTTCTGTCAGGTATGACTCAGTGGGTAGATGGTTTTGTTTTTGTGGGGGGTGAAGACACAGTCAGATACTAGCATTTGCAGTATAACAACTTATTGAAATATCAGTGCAAAAACACCCAGTACAAGCATGGTAAAAGCATTTGAGGACCAGTTGAACATCCCTGGTCTATGCCCTTAAAACGTCCTGTGATCTTTGAGAATCTATTTTTTCCGGTTCTTAAGTTAAGGACGAGGGGACTGAGTTCAATGGCTCTGGCCTGGTCTGTGTGAACGCTTGCTATGAAGAATGCTTGTGATTCAGAATGCGTTGGCTTTTAAGAAATAAAACTGATGAGAAATAAATGTAGTATAGATCCAATACGTCCAGCATTTTCGTCTGCAGTGAGTTTGTAAAAGTGTCGCCTTGTGCCACACATGCGGCATAACACTCCACCTCTCTTCACCTTGTGTGATCGCAGCCCGAGCCGAGGCCCTGACCCAGTGCTCCGCGAACAGAGCAATCATCCCCTGTTACCATCCAATCACCCAGACTCCAGACGCAGACATGTCTCATACCACATCTGCTACAGCTTCAATCTCACCCCCCAACCTGCTGTCTGCCACCTCATAACCCTATTTATTTACTCTACACCCATCTCAAATGGAAATGCTCTTGATCTATCTCTCTCTGCATTTGAGATGAAAAGCAGCTGCTGAAGTTTTTTTTGGCGTATTTTGTGTATGTATTATGCAAAGATTTCTGGTGGTGTTGACGCTCCAGGTGCAAACAACATGGTAATCTGCCGCAGTATTATCTAAGTGATAAGTGAACTGGATGTGAGGTATTGTGGAAAGAGCACCCACTCTCACAGCCTCCAGGTCTGCAGGGACCAGGAGACCAGTTTGATTATGTAGAAGTGAGTGGTGTGCAGCAATGACAAGCAGGAACCATATACAATGTTCATTATTGTATTCGTCGTTGGTCTAATTGGTTCAGTTTGAGACTCTTCGAGTGGAAACTTACTATGTGTGACCAGTTGTAGATCTGAAGATATTGACCCGAGCCTGACTTCATCCATAGTTCCATTTCTTGGGGTTTGAAAGTTAGGTTCCCCAGCTTTAAACTTAAAACGCAAGTTCCAAAAAATGCCTTTTCGTTTTGTCATAAAACAAAATAAGTAAAAATAAAAAACTAGATGAGCGATGTGAACTGATGCCGACACAAAATATCATAAGGACATAAGATTATTTTTTTAGCGGTAGGGGAAACCGATGCACCAGGAGGAAACCTACGCAGACACGGGGAGAACATGCAAACTCCGATCGGGATTCGAACCCAGAAACGTCTTGCTGAGAGACGAGAGTGCTATCCACTCAGCCACCATGCCGCCACCGTTTGTTATATTATAAACGATATAAGCAGCCTGACCCCCACCCCCCACATACACATTCTCGTCTCTATCAGATGTGGAGCAGGCTCTTCGGCCTGGGCGCCTCACTCTGCTCTAATTGGACTGTGGACAGCCCATTAGCCAGTTAGCACTCCCATCTGGTAAAGGTCATCCCTGGAGCAGACTCCGGAGGTTCGGCGGCTGCACACGCACCTAAGAAGTCTGAAACCTCCACGGACCATTTGATGGAACATTTAATTCCCCACTCTCTCCATCTCTCGTCGCTTTATATTCATTGTACACCTCATTTTAGCTTCAGACAGAAAACAGAAGCTCGACCAATGCACAAGGACTGCCAGAAGCAAATGGATTTTCTACAGTGTATGTGCCATAATGAAATATTTGAAATTTTAATAGTAGGTTAAATCTATGGCCTGTATATAAATGGAGAAGGCTACACCTCTTCCTCAGTGAAGCTCCATAGGTAAGCGTTCACACCATTTTGGGTGTGATTGCTTAATCTAATTTGTGTGTTCTTTATAATCCTGGCATTTTGAGTTTAATATTCTCTTTGTAAATCCAAGTACTGTATGAGTCAGATGCCTTCATTTGCAGAGGAAACTCCGGCTTGCCTGAGTAACCACCTTGAAAGAAAACGGAAAAAACTGATAAAGAGGGGACCACCTTCACTCAGCCGATCAGCTGTCAGCCCAAAGAGCCATTTAGTGACTCACATCTTTCTTACAATAGTTCAAAAGATAACTTGTGGTCTGATTTGTTTGCAACATTCCCCATTGTATTATTTAGGAAAACATATAAACCTGCGGTACCTCCGTCATGTCCCTTCTACATTTCTTCTATAATGTTGTACGCCCCGTTGCATTGTGGGAGCTGACCTTCTGTCGCATCTGGACCGTACCATATTTGCAGTAAAAAGCACTCGTTTCACTGTGATTATGAGGGTGCTGTGCAGGTGCTGTGCTGCTGTCAAGATTACGGTAATTTGCACTCAAGGATGATTTAGTATCCGGCGAGCTACAGCTCATTACAGCCACAGAGAGAGCAGAGCCCGTGATTTATACCATTTTAACGGAGGAAAATTGAATATAATGCAAATCTGATTTGGAGTTAAGCAGGATTTACAAGGAAGTAACATAGGGGAAAAAGGGTAACTGATTCAAAAATATACATGTTTATCTTGATAATAAGAAAGTGGCAACTCATTTAGTGTATGAAAGAAGAGTGACAAACCTTTATTTGTGCTTCATGTAGTTGCGCATTATCAACGTTTGGTGTAAGACGTATAGTTACACAACTTATTTTTGTTATGTTTTCGCTCGGTTTATTTGTCTGTTAGTTGGTTAAGTTATGTTTTTGATGTTCTGTGTGACCTGTGAGATTTGAATGCTTTATGGGCTGTGAAGCACTTCACCTTGTGTAGGAAAAGCAAATAAACAACATAATAGGAAAAGGTACGGCTGGACAAGGAACTAATTATGGCATTTCAAGGAATCTTCTGAAAAGTAACTGCTTCTTTGCAGAGTCTGCGAGAGCTCAAGCTGCACAAATCTTAAAGGTGATGTCTGCATCACCTTTTAACTGTTTTTCATGTTGAAAATAATACATATATTTGCACCATATGACCCTGTAGTCTTGTCCATAATAAGTATTTTTTTATAAAACATATATTCAAACCACAATTTTAGCTGACTATCAAGGTCTTGAAATAGTTGCATCCAATCAGGAAGTAGTGCTTGCATTAGAAGTAAAATGTCTTTCTATCTTCACAATATGAAAAGTAACTGACCTTCACTTTAATTCTTGATTTGGACACGCCATTAAATGTTGAATACTCCACATTTAGGACAAAATAAAGGCTTGCCCTGTTGGTCACCATGGTGATGCCAGATGAAAAGCCAGTTCCAGAGGCTGCAATGGTACACTGAGTAAGTTTGATTAGATTTTTACATTATTGGACCTGAGGGTTTCAGGTTTAATTACAGACAAAGATTTGGAGGCACGTCACTTGATTTGATTCCATGGAAAAGAAAACTAAAATGCCATATTCAGGATTATCCTACATGAATATACAGTAGATTCCCATGCCAAACTATTGAAGATAATAACCAAAATGGAAATAGGAAAGTGGAATATATTTAGAAGTACAACAAAAACAAAAATAGGTTTTTCATTTGTGAATAAATGATAGAACCCAAACTTGTCTTGGACTCTTATGATCATACAAATGTATGTATGAATGAATGTGTGTTTGCATAATATGTAATAGGGAAGTCTATTTTCACAATAAACAAGTGTCCCTTAACTACTGAAACTTGATGGAGTCAAAATAATCTCTACCACAATGAAAATACAGACATCGGCAGCATCGTTTTATCGGCGGTAGGGTTACAGACAGTACGTAATGGTAGACTCTACATAGTGTGCGTCACAATATCCCTGATTTAATAAAAAGAAGAAATAAGAACGAAACATGAATGATTTCTGACCAAATCTATGATCCATTTACAGAGTCTGTATTATCAGAAACACACGAGTCCCTTGCTGTCCCCATTATTATTGTTGTGACTGACATGCAGTGATGGTCTTTCCAAACAGCGCTCTCTGCTATAATCTGATGCTAATCGGTGTTTAATGGTGTCTGCCTTATGAAGCCCTGAGACGCACATACTGGCATGGGACTTGCATGGACTTCTGCCATCGATTTATGATAGAGATTTGCCTCCAGATCCCTGAGGAGCTCCTTAATTGAATTTTGCATGAAGTCACTTGAGCGGCAACAATAATTATAGCTGTGGGCTGCTCCCCACTCCTGCCAATTCACTGATCCACGATTGTAATCTTCACAACAGCGTGTTATCAGCTCTTCATACAATCTCTGGTATCTGAACCCGGTGCACATATGCCATCACAGAGCGTCTATGTGTTAGCTTCATGTACTTTTATTCCTTTAGTTTTTCATTTGTAGGCCAGTAGACACATGTGGTGAACCCGAAAGGCCCCACCGCATTAACTATTCATCAGAGGCAAGATGGCGTTCTCCTAATCAATTCTGTGTGAAGTAGCAGATGCAGCCGTTCTACCGATAGAGAGAGACCAGAAAACACTGATAATGTTACGGATAAAATAGGTTTCGGAGTTAAGTGTCAAAAGCAGGTTGCAGTCTTTTTTTCATTTAGTTTGAAGCTTCCAGAGTTATTAAACATTCTATTCAACAACACCTAGTCATGATCTGGACTTTCATTTTAAACTTGGATTTATTTTAATTTCCCATCTGTTTTCTGTCCATTGTTTATCCCATATTTTGTCCTGGTTTGTTGATATTACAGTGTTATTGTTACCCTGGATTTGATTTTGTTTAATTAAATTGCACGTTATTTTCAGTCCCGCATTTTGGGTTCCTAGTTTTAATTTCACTACATGACACACCTGCGTATATGCCTAATAAGTTTGTTGATCATTCTCTGTGGATTTTCTAGAATCTGTGATGCATAGACCCTCACTTTGATGGTTTACTGGGGCAGACATTATGAAGGTCAGCAGACCCATTCAACTCGATAAAGATCAATTATTCGGGTTGAGGTTGAAATGTTAAAAGTTTTATATAACTAGAAAATCACTCGAAGCCCACAGACTATGGCCAAGAAGCGCCTGGGAGCTTCTTCAGTCTATAACCGCACAGTCTCAGTCCTAAGACCTGGATCTTTGTTGGCCTCCCCGAGGTTTCTCACTTTTTTCCATTTTTTTGGAACGTCATCCCTTTCCGAAGCATGGGGTCCAAGACATTTAAGGACATTTACAGACATCGGTCTTCCCGCTCCCAGTGGACCAATGGCTCCTATGCGTATGATATAAATTTCTTGTTGTATTGTCTGTGATCAAACTGTTTCTTTGAGCTGTTTTTGGTGATTCAACAACTTTGTAAAGTCCTGTGAAATTACTGCTGTTGGGATTTAGGGCTGAACAAAAATAAATTGAACTGAATTGAACCACCTCCAAAATTGAATCACTTGTTTGCTGGGACTTTTCTCATGTTTTCTGAATTTCATCCAAATCCTCCCACCACTTTTCAAGTTATGTTGCTCACAGAAAAACAAACAAAGAAACAAACAGAGAAACACCAGTGATCACTTAACGTCCTGGACAGAGGTATTGATCTATGAATTTTAACTGTTAAGCCTATTAAAGCACAACATGTTCTTTCAGCTACATCATTGTTTGT